TGAAAAAAAATCATTTCTGTACCAATTTCAAAACCCTTATGTTATTGATATTGGAACTTCAATTCACTGAATAAATCTGGAATTGAACGGATGTCTCAATGTTGGCAATCACAACATCTAGTATCGATTGTTGTAAAAACCCATCTTGCTCTCTAATGTCTTTCAGGAAAAGATAAACTGTCCCCTATAGTGATTGTAACAAGGTCAGCCAGGTGGATCTCACAGAATATGATTGAGGCTGTTAATTTGGTCCAATCAGGGAGCCCTGGCTGACAGATAAGGACAGGAGTGTCAGAGGTTCTGCTCACTCTGAGAGAGTTGGACCAGTGTCAAGTGCTTCTAAATTAAGGGTGACTTGTGGATGGGATATACTGCCCCCTGTGGAGTTATTTCACCCTTCTTACTTGGCCTGCCCTATGTGGAATGCCTGACCCACAGCAATGTGGTCATCTCTCAATGACCTTCTACAATGGCTTTGCGGGCCATTCAGTTGTACCAAACTGCTGTAGAGATCCAGTTGACTGCAGCAGGTCACAAAGGTGGCTCCCCATCTCCTTCCAAAGGGTAGTTAGGGATGGGCAACAAATGACAACGAAGCCCATGTCCCGTGAATAAATTGAAAAGACATTAATCTTGTTCCAGGTATGGATTAAGTTATACTTTGACTAATGGTTCAAGAGGTAGCTCAGAGGAGGGTCACTGGATTTATTCCAGAGATGAAAGAGTTGTCTTCTGAAGAGAATTTGAGCAGTTTAAGCCTATGCTCCCTGGAGTTTAGAAATATGAGAGAAGATCAAATCAAGGCATATAAGATATGAAAGGGGATTGACAAAGTGGACGTAGAAAGGATGTTTCCTCATGAGGGGTAATCTAGAACGAAAGGCCATCATTTCAGGATAAGTGATGGCAGATTTAAAACAGAGATGAGGAGAAATTACTTCTCTCAAAGGGTTGTGAATCGGTGGAATTCACTAACCTGATGCAAGGACAGTAGCTGGCGTGGGCAGCTTAGTGGTTAGCGCTGCTGCCTCAGAGTGTCAGGGACCCCGGTTCGATTCCACTCTCGGGCGACTGTCTGTGTGGAGTTTGCATATTCTCCCTGTGTCTGTGTGGGTTTCCTCTGGGTGCTCTGGTTTCCATCCACAGTCCAAAGATGTGCAGGTTCAGTGGATTGGCCAATGCTAAATTGCCTGTAGTGTCCAGGGATGTGTAGGCTAGGTGGGTTAGCCTTGGGAAATGAGGCGTTATGGGAATAGGGTGGGGGTTATTGAGTCTAGGTGGGATCCTCTTTAGGGGATCAGTGAAGACTTCATTGGCCAAATAGCCTCTTTCTGCACCATTGGGACCTATATGTAAGGAGGTAGCAAGATTTTTAATCAGTAATGGGCTGAAGGGTTATGGAGAGCAGATATAGGAAAGTGGAGTTGAGGCCAAGATGAGATCAGCCCTGATCATATCAAATGGCAGAGCAGGCTCGAGGGGCTGAATGGCCTATTTCTACTCTAAGGTTCTTATGTTCTAACTGAAGTTTTGTCTTCAATTGCATTGCTACGCTTGGCAGATTCAGGAGACAACATGGGTGAGTTTCCGAGTCATAAACAATCCACACAGATTTCATTTGCCAACCAGTGTCTGCATGAAAGGGATAATCCCATGCATTATGACAGTCACTTGGAGAGTGATTGGAGAGCAGAGATCATAGTCAGAGGTCCTCAGAGTGTGGGGGCAGGGATGGGTGCAGTAGCCATCACTAAGGAGAAGGTGCTGGGGAAGTTGTAAGGTCTGAAGGTGGATACATCACCTGGACCAGAGGGATTACACCTCAGAGTTCTGAAGGAGTTAGCTGAGGAGATTGTAGAGGCATTGATGGTGACAGGAGAGGACTGGAAATTGGCTAAAGGAACATCCCTTTTTAAGGGAGGGAGGCAGAAGACAGGAAACTATCAGCTGGTTAGCCTGGCCTCGGTTATCGTTAAGATATTAGAGTCCATTATTAGAGTCATAGAGTTATACAGATCGGAAACAGACCATTCAGTCCGATTCGTCCATGCTGACCAGATTTCCTAAATTAATCTAAACCCATTTACTAGCATTTGGCCCATATCCCTCTAAACCCTTCCCATTCATATACCCATCCAGGTGCCTTTTCAATGCTGTAATTGTACCAGCCTCCACCACTTCCTCTGGCAGCTCATTCCATACACACACCACCCTCTGCATGAAAAAGTTGCCCCTTAGGTCCCTTTTAAATCTTTCTCCTCTCACCTGAAACCTATGCCCTCTAGTTTTGGATTCAGCTATCCTAGGGAAAAGACCTTTTTCATTCATCCTGTCCATGCCCCTCATGATTTTATAAACCTCTATAAGGTCACCCCTCAGCCTCCGACACTCCAGAGAAAATAACCCCAGCTGACTCAGCCTCTGTCCATAGTTCAAACCTGGCAACATCCTTGTAAATATTTTCTGCACCCTCTCAAGTTTAACAACATCTTTCCTATGGCAGGGAGACCAGAATTGTACACGGTATTGATATATATTGGTATAAAATTGGCCTCGCTAATGTCCTGTACCAGCACAACATTCCAACTTCTATACTCAATGTTCTGACCAATGAAGGCAAGTGTACCAAATGCCTTCTTCCCTATCCTGTCTACCTGTGACTCCACTTTCAAGAAAATATGCACCTGAACTCCTAGGCCTGTTTGTTCGGCAACACTCTCCAGGACCCTGCCATTGACTGGATAAGTCCTGCCTTGGTTTGCCTCACATTTATCTAAATTAAACTCCATCTGCCACCCCTCGGCCCATTGGCCTGTCTGATCAAGAGTCCCATTGTACTCTGAGGTAACCTTCTTCACTGTCCACTATGCCACCAATTTTGGTGTCATCTGCAAATTTACTAACCATACCTCCTATGTTCACATCCAAATCATTCATATAAATGACAAAGAACAGTGGACTCAGCACCTATCATTGTGGCACACTGCTGGTCACAGGCTTCCAGTCTGAAAAGCAACCCTGTACCACCGCACTCTGTCTCTTACCTTCAAGTTAATTTTGTATCCAATTGGCTAGCTCCCCCTGGATCCCATAGCAAAGAACAAAGAACAATACAGCACAGGAACAGGCCCTTTGGCCCTCCAAGCCTGCACCGACATATTTTGCCCTTCCATACTAAAACCATGTGATCTTACTAACCATTCTACCATGTGGAACCTTGTCTTAAGCTTTACTGAAGTTCATAATGTCTACCGCTCTGCCTTCATCAATTTTCTTTGTCGCCTCTTCGAAAAACTCAATCAAGTTAGTGAGATACGATTTCCCACGCACAAAACCATGTTAACTATCCCTAATCAGTCCTTGCTTTTCCAAAACATGTAAATCCTATCCCTTAGAATCCCTCCAACAACTTACCCACCACTGATGTCAGGCTCACTGGTCTACAGTTCCCTGGCTTTCCCTTACAGCCTTCTTAAATAATGCCGCAACATCAGCCACCTCCAGTCTTCCGGCACCTCATCCATGCCTGTCATTGATTCAAATATCTCAGCAAGAGGCCCAGCAATCTCTTCCCTAGCTTCCCACTAAGTTCTGGGAAACACATGACCTCCAGCCCCTCCTCCCCTGTAATATGGACACTATTCAAGGCATCACTATTTATTTCCCCAAGTACCCTAGCTTCCATGTCTTTCTCCACAGTAAATACTGAGGTGAAATATTTGTTTAGTATCTCACCCATCTCCTGTGGCTCCACTCACATAGATGGCTACATTGGTCTTTAAGGGCCCCTAATCTCTCCCTAGTTACTCTTTTGTTCTTAATGTACTTGTAGAATCTCTTTGGATTCTCCTTAACCCTATTTGCAAAGCTATCTCATGTCCCCTTTTTTCCCTCCTGATTTTCCTCGTAACTATACTCCTACTGCCCTTATAGCAGTCTCAAGATTCACTCGATCCCAGCTGTCTATACCTAATATATGCCTCCTTTCCCTCGACCAGAACTACAATTTCTCTCGTTATCCAGCATTCCCTACACTACCAGCCTTGCCTTTCACATGAATAGGAACATACTGTCTCTGAATTCTCACTATCTCATTTTTAAAAGCCTCCCATTTCCTAACCATCCCTTTACCTGAGAATAGCATGCCCCAATCAACTTTTGAAAGTTCCTAATAGTGTCTAATACCATCAAAATTGGCCTTCCTCCAATTTAGAACTTTTTGGTCAGTTCTGTCCTTTTTCATAACTATTTTAAAACTAATAGAATTATGATCTCTGGTCCCAAAGTGCTCCCCCACTGACACCTCAGTCACTTGTCCTGCCTTATTTCCCAAGAGTAGATAAAGTTTTGTTCCTTGTCTAATGGGTACATCTACATGTTGACTAAGAAAGTTTTCTTGTACACACTTAACAAATTCCTGCCCATCCCAAACCCTTAATACTGTGATAGTCCCAGTCTGTGTTTGGAAAGTTAAAGTCCCCTAACATTACAACCCTGTTATTCTAACAGATATCTGAGATCTCCTTACAAATTTGTTTCTCAGTTGTTAAGGATGAGATTGTGGAGTGCTTGGAAATACATGGTAAAATAGCTGGGTCAACCCAGCTTCATCAAGGGGAGACCATGCCTGACAAATCAGTTTGAATTCTTTGAGGAGTAGTAAGCAAGTTAGACAAAGGACTGCCAATGGATTTCGAGAAGGCCTTTGACAAGATGTCGCAGAATAGGCTGCTAAGTAAGATAAGAGCCAATGGTGTTAGGGGCAAGGTACTGGCATAGATAGAGGATTGGCTGACTGGCAGAAAGCAGAGACTGGGGATAAAGGGGTCCTTTTCAGGATGGCAGCTAGTAACTAGTTAAATTCTGCAGGAGTCAATGTTGGGACCACAGCTATTCATGTTATACTTTAATGATCTGGATGAAAGAACTGAGGGCATTGTTACTAAGTTTGCAGGTGACATAAAGCTAGGTGGAGAGACAAGTAGTGTTGAGGAAGTGGGGAGGCTGCAGAAGGACTTGGAAAAGCTAGGAGAGTGGGCAAAGAAATGGCAGATGGAATACAGTGTGGGAAAGTGTGATGTTATACACTTTGGTAAGAACAATAGGGGCATAAACTGTTGTCTGAATGGAGAAAAGCTTTGGAAATCTGAAGCACAAAGGGACTTGGGTGTCCTAGTTCAGGATTCTCTTAAGGTTAACACGCAGGTTCAGTTTCCAGTTAGGAAGGTAAATGCAACGTTAACAATAATTTCAAGAAGGCTAGAATACAAAAGCAGAGATAAATTGCTGAGGCTGTATCAGGTTCTGGTCAGGCTGCATTTGGAACATTATGAGCAGTTTTTGGCCCTGTATCTAAGGAAGGATGTGCTGACACTGGAGGGGTCCAGAGGAAGTTTACAAGAATGATCCCAGGGATAAAGGGCTTGTCATATGAGGAGCAGTTGAGGACACTGGACCTGTACTCGATGGAGTTTGGAAGGATGAGGGGGATGACCTGATTGAAACTTACAGAATACTGAGAGGCCTGGATAGAGTGGATGTGGAGAAGATGATTCCACTAGTGGGAGAGACTAGGACCCAAGGACACAGCCTCAGAGTGAAGGGAATGACTCTATAGAACTGAGTTGAAGAGGAATTTCTTCAGCCAGAAGGTGGTGAATCTGTGGGACTCATTGCCATAGAGGTCTGTGGAGACCAAGTCATTGAGTGTATTTAAGACAGAGATAGATAGGTTCTTGGTTAGTAAGGGGATCGAGGGTCATGGGAGGAAGGCAGGAGACTGGGATTGAGAAGTGTAGCAATGATTGAATGGCGATGCAGACCTGATGGGCTGAATGGCCTAATTCCGCTCCTCTATCTTATGGTCTTTTGGTCCTATGTATTTTGGTATTGAGATGTTAAAGACCATGAAATATCCTGAACTAAGGTGAGGGTGATGATTGAGGGTAGAGACAAGAGGGGATGTAGATGGTAATGGGCAGTCCTGACATTGGGAAGATGGAGTTGATCGAAGATGAAGTCTGAGCTCAGGGTTGAAGAGAGCCACCCAGGCTGATGTTGGGAGAAGCTGGCGATTTTGAAGGATCTGTGACAGGCCTGTGGGTCAGTTTGTCGTTGAGCTTGAGGGCAGAGTTCCTGAGCTGGGATCGTGGCTTGGTGCAGGTGAAGTGGGCATGTATAAAGCTGCTGGTTGTCTGTCGCAATATTGTCTTGCACCAGTTTCGGCCCCATGTTTTGCACAGCTGTCACACTATCAGGGAAAGCCACAAAGATGAGGTTTGACCACAGGCTCTGTTCACTTCTGATGCTGACCAGTCATTGACTGAATGTGCCACCGATAATGTTGCTTGTTTACCTTTAGGAAGACGAGTTTGTAGACTGGTGGAGCAAGTTCTACGCATCAACGGGTGAGGCCAACAAATGTGGAACGTACCTGGATAAAGGCTTTGACACACTTCAGGTACACCATGCAGTTTGTTCAGTTCTGGGTATTATCTATATCGATCACTGTGCTTCATGATAAATTAATATATTTTTTTGGAACCATGTGCAGCTTTCCTTGTATTTCTATGATGTACGTGTTAAGAAGGGAGAAAACATAGTTCGAGTTTAATTTTAGGTTTTGGGTTCAGGTTTGTACGGAGTTTGTTTATTTGCATTTAAAGCAGGCTTTTAAAAAGATCTCTCGTGGTAATGTGTTCAGGTCGTCAGGTTCAGAATCCTGTTCCCTGGTCCATCCCATTGCACATCTCATCCAATCAGCAACCAGATTGCCAACGAATTAGCACCCTGTTTCTCATGCAGTTTCAATTATTGTTCCCCTTGAAGTGTGGCTAACTTGCATTTGCCCTGATGGAGCGTTGTCAGTGTATTTCTTTTTTTCAATAATATTACTTCAATGTTGTGCAAATTCATCACAGACTAACTACTTTAGCCCTGGATAGACAATATAAGTTTTTGACATCTTTTACATAAGGTTTAACGTCTTGTTATCTATTCATTAGTGCTCAGTATAAAATGAGACTCATATTTCAGTAGCACCTTTTACTATACAATCTCATTATGTTCTCATTCCCCCTTTATACTCTGAGGTTTTTAATGTAATTTGTAAAGACAGATGGGGGCAAAGTTGTAATGGCTTTACAAACGGACAATATATTTGGGAGTGCAACACTGCTTCAAGGAAGAAGTGGAGAGCCATGATCAGGGATGGCACTGTAGAGAGATTTTTTTATCCATAATAAAGAGATAGCAGGTAAGGCCAGGAAGCTGGAGACTTTTGAAATGATAAAGGGCATTTGAATCATCACAGGCATAATTGGGAAAAGACTGCACTGGTCAGGGAATTGAGTACAAGAGTCAGGATGTCATGTTGCAGCTTTATAAGAATTTGGTCAGGCCACACTTAGAGTATTGCATTCAGTTCTGATCACCACAATACAGGAAGGATGTGGAGAGGGTACAGAAGAGGTTTACCAGGATATTGCCTGGATCAGAGTATAAGGAGAGGCTAGAAAAACTCGGGTTGTTTTCTCTGGAGCGGTGGAGGATGAGGGGAGACGTGATAGAAATCTGTAAAATTGTGAGACGCATAAATAGGGTTGACGGTCAGAACCTTTTTCCCAGGGTGGAAATGTCTCATATTAGGGAGCGTGCATTTTTTTTCTCTATTCATTTGTGGGATGTGGGTGTCGCTGGCTGGCCAGCATTTCTTGCCCATCCCTAGGTGAGAGAGGGCAAGTTCAAAGACAAAGTGAGGGGCAGGTTCTTTACACAGAGAGTGTAGCAGACTGAAACTCGCTGCCAGGGGTGGTGGTGGAGGCAGATACGATAGGGCGGTTTAAGGGACTTTTAGATAAACACATGAATATTCAGGGAATGAAGGGATATGGACCAAGGGCAGGCAGAAGGGTTTAGTTTAATTTGGCATCATGTTCGGCACAACATTGTGGGCCGAAGGGCCCGTTCCTGTGCTGTACTGTTCTGTGTGCTATCTTCTAAAAGGAGAGAAAATAGTCAAGACAGGAAGAATTGTGTTCATTAGACACGAACAGGCTGAGACTATGGATCTATCAGGAATGACCTGGTGACTGATTTTGGGAAACGGGTAGAAGCAAGCTGTTTGGAATGAGGTTAGAAGCTTTAGGAGTGGAGGGGAATCTCCAGGGGAGATGAGATGTCTGACAGTCTTGGAAACAATCACTTCCAATCAGTGGTGGGACCATTGAAAGAAATACCTGAGAATCAGTGCTCAGTCTAAATCTGGAATTGTCGGCCCACAAAAGCCTGCTGGTTCAGAGTATCTTGAGATTTGGGGCAGAGGAGGGCGATAGAGTATGGTCTTGTTCAGCCATGCTTTAACTGAATATACTGGAACAGTCAATGAATATTGCTCCCAGAAGTGTTACTATTGGAATGCAAGTAAAGTAGCAGCCAATTTGCAGACAGTGATATCCCTCAACTGGCGATCTGTTGATGACCAGGTAATCTGCTGTGGCAGTATTGGTTAATGGAGAAACATTAACCAGGAACAGTGCCAAGAACACTTCTGCATTTCTTCAAAATGGAACCACAGTGTCCTTTAAGCCCATCTGAGTGTCAGATGAGAGCTGAGCTTAACAAAGTCACCGGAAGAGTTCCAGACAGCATAAATAGGGAGAAACTGTTTGCATTGGTGTCGGGTTAAGGTAAAAGACCCATAGGTGACCTGATGGAAGCCTTTTTAACACAGTGAGTGCATCGGCTCTGGAATAAACTGCCTGAAGATGAGGTGGAGGTAGGATTCCAATGCTGGCCTTCAGAAACATCTAAGAGAAACCAAAAGGGAGGGTTACTGGGGAAGGGATGGGTGTGTGGGGAAAGTGGGATGAGCTGATTAGCTGTGGCAAACAGCCCAGCTGGACCCAGCAGGCCCAATGGCCTCCTCCTGTGCTGTGACCATTCTGTAAATCCATGCTCTGGTCAGCCCCTGAATAAACAGTACGGGTCTGTCCTGTCTGTGTACCCTTTATGTCCCACAGGTCTACAATGTTGAGCTGGAGAAGGTTGAGGAGTTCGGGGGGTTAACAGATTTCTGCCGTACCTTCCCTCTGCATCGTGGGAAGGCTCAGGGTGAAGATGAGGATCCTTCAGTTGTGGGAGAATTCAAGGTAAGGGTTCGATATTATATGTGTTCAATGATGTTCTGTCTTTGAAGTTGGGTTATTGGAGAATTCAAGGTTGACCCTATGGGGCACCGAGATCAAAAAGAGTCAGAGTACCAGCCTCACCAGTTAAAGTGGGACCAACTGGATTACCTCTGAGACACTGTTCAGTTCTTAGTCACTGCTTCTACCTCACATCTAATCTATTCTTTATTCATTCACAGGATTTTGTTTCCTTTATTCATTCATGGGATGAGGGCATCGCTGGCTAGGTGGCATTTATTGCCCATCCCTAATTGTTAAACAGTTAGGAGTCAACCACATTGCTGTGGGTCTGGAGTCACATGTAGGCCAGACCAGGAAAGGATGGCAGTTTCCTTCCCTAAAGGATATTAGTGAACCAGATGCGTTTTTCCCCAACGATCAGCAATGGATTCATGGTCATCATTAGATTCTTAATTCCAGATATTTATTGAATTCAAATTCCACCATCTGCCATGGTGGGTTTCGGACCCGGGTCCCCGGAACATTAGCTGGGTCTCTGGATTAATAGTCCAGTGATAATACCACTAGGCCATTGCCTCCTCTCCTGGACTCAATGCCTCGACCGATGAAGGCCAGCATGCTAAATGCCTTCTTCACCACCCTGTGACACCGCTTTCAACGAACTATGTGCTTGTACTCCTAGGTCCCCCTGTTCCACAACACTCCTCAGGACCTTCCCATTTACTGTATCAAGAGCATGAATACGCTGGGCAGAACCCTAACTAATGTAATGTTGTTGATACCTTCAGGGAAGCTTCAAGATCTATGCTCTTCCAGAAGACCCGTCTGTGCCCAACCCTCCTCGCCAATTCCGCCAATTACCAGCCAGTGGACTCCAGGAATGTCTAGTCAGGGTTTATGTTGTCCGAGCCTTTGGACTGCAGCCTAAGGATTCGAATGGAAAGGTCAGTGCTCCTTCATGGAAACATGTTCTTTGTGGCTCTGATTAATAAAACCTTCATTTTTTTTTGTTTATTCCATTCATCAGTTCTGCTTTCTCTTGAAAAGAGTTGCTCGTTTCCTCCATCTAGTTTTAGTTGAGGTTTCAAAACTGTTTGCATTTATGTAGCGAATTTCACTACCTGGGGCACGCCAGAGTAAGAGTCTCACAGCCATTTTTGAAGTATTTTAAAAAATTCATTAATGGGATGAGGGCGTCGCTGGCCAGGCAGCATTTATTGCCCACCCCTAATTCCCTAGAGGGCAGTTAAAAGGTAACCACATTGCTGTGGGTCTGGAGCCACATGTAGGCCAGACCAGGTAAGGGTGACGGTTTCCTTCCCTAAAGTTAGTGAACCAGATGAGTTTTTCCTGACAATTGACAATGGATTCACAGCCATTGTTAGATCCTTAATTCCAGATACTTTGGTTGAATTCAAATTCCACCATCTGCTGTGGCAGGATTTGAACCTGGGTACCAGAACATTATCTGGGTCTCTGGGTTAACAGTCCAATGACAATACCACTAACCATCACCTCCCCTATTGCTGTTGCAATAAAGGAAGCACAGAAATTAATTTGTTCACAAATTGGAAACTACTCAATCAATCACCAGATAATTTATTGTTTGAGGTTGGTTGAGAATTGAATAGCTGAGTAAGAAAGTGGGGAGAATGTCCCTGCTCTTCTTAGAAATAATGCCGTCAAATCTTTTACTTTCATATTGGGGCAGGACAGTGGCTCAGTGGTTCGCACTACTGCCTCACAGTACCAGGGACATGGGTTCAATTCCACCCTCAGGCAGCTGCCTGTGTGGAGTTTGCACATTTTCCCTGTGTCTGCATTGGATTCTTCTAGGTGCTCCAGTTTCCTTCCATCATCTGAAGATATGCAGGTTAGGTGAACTGGTCATGGGAATGCAGGGTTACAGGGATAGGGTAGTGGGGTGGGATGGCCTTCAGAGGGTCGGTGTGGGCTGAAGGGCCTGCTTCCACATTATAGGGATTGTATGTCAGCCAGACTTGGTAAGGGCAGTAGATTTCCTTCCCAAAGGGACTAACTGAACAAGATCAGTTTTTGAAACAGTCTCTGGTGCAGCTACATTCATAGACAAACTATTATCTAACTGAATCAAACAACCTTGGAGACAGTAATGAGCACTTTTACCTTCCATATGTTATGACAGTTTTATAGTTATCATTATTGAGATTAGCTTTATGTTCCCGATTTAGTTTTTAATTACAGTAAACAGTTTTAAATTCCACTATGGTAGGATTTGAATCCATTTCCCCAAGGATTAAGCCAGCTCTCGTGATTACCAGTCCAGTGACTTTATCACTGCATTGTATTTTGAATTTTGAACTTATTCAATGATGACGAGCCAGAACTCTCCAGGGTAGGGGCTTCTGAAAATTCAAGTGAAGAAACTTGTATCTTATTTCCAGTGTGTTTTTCATTCATTCGAGGATGTGGGCATCCATAAATGGAACCTACGAGGGAGCAAGCTATCCTAGATCTAGTCCTGTGTAATGAGACAGGAATAATTAATGATCTCACAGTTAGGGATCCTCTCGGAAGGAGCGATCACGGTATGGTCGAATTTAAAATACAGATGGAGCGTGAGAAGGTTAAATCCAGTACCTACGTCCTGTGCTTAAACAATGGAGACTATGATGGAATGAGGAAGGAGTTAGCTAAGGTAGAATGGGAGAAAAAACTTTATGGTGGGTCAATTGAGGAACTGTGGAGGACTTTCAAACAATTTTTCACAGTGCTCAGCAGAAGTATATTCCAGTGATAAGGAAGAACTGTAGGAAAAGAGAGCCAGCCATGGATGTCTAAGGAAATAAAGGAAAGTATCAGATTGAAAAAAAACACATACAAAAACGCAAAGAGTAGTGGGAAACCAGTAGACTGGGAAATCTTTAAAGGCCAACAGAAAGCCACAAAAATAGTTATAAAGAAAAGTAAAATAGATTATGAGACTAAACTAGCTCAGAATATAAAAACAGGCAGCAAAAGTTTCTATAAATATGTAAATCATAAAAGAGTGGCGAAGGTAAACATTGGTCCTTTAGAGGATGAGAAGGCCAATTTAATAACTGGGAATGAGGAAATAGCCGAGACATTAAACAGTTATTTTGTGTTGGTCTTCACAGTGGAAGACACAAATAACATGCCGAAAGCTAATGGCAAGAAGGTTATAGCAGGTGAGGACCTAGAAACTATCATTATCACTAAGGAGGCAGTGCTGGGCAAGCTCATGGGGCTAAAGGTAGACAAGTCTCCTGGCCCTGATGAAATGTATCCCAGGGTACTAAAAGAGGTGATGGGGGAAATGGTAAATGCACTAGTAATTATTTACCAAAATTCACTGGACCCTGGGGTGGTTCCCGCAGATTGGAAAACAGCCAATATGATGCCACCATTTAAAAAAGGAAGTAGACAAAAAACAGGTAGCTTAACTTCAGTAGTGGGGAAAATGCTTGAATCTTTCATTAAGGAAGAAATAGCAAGACATCTGGATATAAATTGTCCCATTGGAAATACCCAGCATGGGTTCATGGGTCATGTTTAACTAATTTGGTGGAATTCTTTGAGGACATTACTTGCATGGTGGACAATGGGGAAACTGTGGTTGTGGTGTATCTGGATTTCCAGAAGGCATTTGACAAGGTGCCACACCAAAGGCTGCTACATAAGATAAAGTTGCATGGTATTACAGGTAATGTATTGGCATTGATAGAGGATTAGTAGAAAGCAAACAGTAGCAGTAAATGGGTGTTTTTCTGGTTGGCAGTCAGTGGCTAGTGGTGTGCCTCAGGGATCAGTGTAGGGACCGCAATTGTTTACAATTTACGTTGATGATTTGGAGTTGGGGACTAAGTGTGGTGTGTCAAAATTTGCAGATGACACTAAGGTGAGTGGTGGAGCAAAGTGTGCAGAAGACACTGAAAGTCTGCAGAGGGATATAGACAGTCTAAGTGAGTGGGCAAAGGTCTGGCAGATGGAGTACAATGTTGATAAGTGTGAGCTCATCCATTTTGGTAGAAATAACAGCAAAATGGACTATGTTTTAAATGGTAAAAAATTGCAGCACGCTGCTGTGCAGAGGGACTTGGGTGTCCTTGTGCATGAATCGTTGAAGGTGGGATTGCAGGTGCAGCAGGTAATTAAAAAGGCAAATGGAATTTTGTCTGTCATTGCTAGAGGGATGGAGTTTAAAAACAGGGAGGCTATGCTGCAGCTGTATAGGGTCTTGGTGAGGCCACACCTGGAGTACTGTGTGCAGTTTTGGTCTCCTTACTTGAGAAGAGATATACTAGCACTGGAGGGGGTGCAGAGGAGATTCACTCGGTTGATTCCAGAGTTGAGAGGGTTGGATTATGAGGAGAGACTGAGTAGACCGGGATTATACTCATTGGAATTCAGAAGAATGAGGGGAGATCTTATAGAAACATATAAGATTATGAAGGGAATAGATAAGGTGGAGGCAGGGAGGTTGTTTCCGCTAGCAGGTGAAACTAGGACTAAAGGGCATAGCCTCAAAATAAAGGGAAGCAGATGTAGGACTGAGGTCAGGAGGAACTTCTTCACCCAAAGGGTTGTGAATCTGTGGAATTCCCTGCCCAGTGAAGCGGTTGAAGCCACCTCGCTGAATGTTTTTAAGGCAAGGCTAGATAAATTTTTGAACAGTAAAGGAATTAAGGGTTATGGTGAGTGGGAGGGTAAGTAGAGCTGAGTCTCAAAAAGATCAGCCATGATCTTATTAAATGGCGGGGCAGGCTCGAGGGGCCAGATGGCCTACTCCTGCTCCTAGTTCTTATCTTATCTCTGGCTGGGTCACATTTATTGCTCATCAGAAGGTGGTGGTGAGCTGCCTTCTTGAACCAGCTGCTGTGGGTTGACCCACAATTCCAGCGACAGTGACGGAATGGCAATATATTTCCAAATCAGGATAGTGAGTGGCCTTGAGGGGGAACTTGCAGGGGCTGGTGTTCCCAAATATCTGCTGCCCTGGTCCTTCTAGATGGAAGTGGTCGTGGGTTTGGAAGGTACTGTCTGAGGATCTTTGGTGAATTGCTGCAGTGCATCTTGTAGATGTTACACTCTGCTGCTACTGAGCGTCAGTGGTGGGGGGAGTGGATGTTGGTGAGTGATCCATATAGGCTTTCAATGTCTATCCTTTCAGATCCTCCGTGAAATAGACACATTCCATTTTCCAAACTTTGGAGCAAATTGACACATCTTGTTTAAGCTCATTCGATAGGATAACCTTAACTCTTACCGTTGACCAGAAACTCAACTGGACCAACAGCCTTGGTTCAAACATGGACAAAAGAGCTGAATTCCAGAAGTGAGGTGAGAGTGACAGCCCTTGATATTAAGGCTGCATTCGACCGAGTGTGGCATCAAGGAGTCCTAGCAAAACTGGGTATTGGGGGGCAAACTCTCCAGTGGTTGGAGTCATACCTGACACATAGGAAGATGGTCGTGGTTGTTGGAGGTCAATCGTCTCAGCTCCAGGACATCTCTGCAGGAGTTCCTCAGGGTAGTGTCCTAGGCCCAACCATCTTCAGCTGCTTCATCAATGACCTTCCCTCCATCATAAGGTCAGAAGTGGGGATGTTCGTTGATGATTACACAATGTTCAGCACCATTTGTGACTCCTCAGATACTGAAGCAGTCCATGTTCACATGCAACAAGATCTGGACAATATCCAGGCTTGGGTTGACAAGTGGCAAGTGACATTCGCGCCACACAAATGCCAGGCTATGACCATCACCAATAAGAGACAAACTAACCACCGCCCCTTGACATTCAATGGTGTTACCATCACTGAATCCACGACTATTAACATACTGGGGGTTACCAATGGCCAGAAACTCAACTGGACTCACCACATAAACACAGAGGCTACAAGAGCAGGACAGAAGCTGGGAATACTGCAGTGAGTCACTCCCCTCCTGACTCCCCAAAGCCTGTCCACCATCTACAAGGCACAAGTCAGGAGTGTGATGGAATACTCCCCACTTGCCTGGATTGGGGCAGCCCCAACAACACTCAAGAAGGTCGACACCATCCAGGACAAAGCAGCCGCTTGATTGGCACCACATCCACAAACATCCACTCCCTCCACCACCGACGCTCAGTAGCAGCAGTGTGCACTATCTACAAGATGCACTGCAGAAATTCACCAAAGATCCTCAGACAGCACCTTCCAAACCCACGACCACTTCCATCTAGAAGGACAAGGTCAGCAGATACATGGGAACACCACCACCTGCAAGTTCCCCTCCAAGCCACTCACCATCCTGACTTGGAAATATCTCTCCATTCCTTCACTGTTGCTGAGTCAAAATCCTGGAATTTCCTCCCTAACAGCATTGTGGGTCAACCCACAGCAGGAGGACTGCAGCGGTTCAAGAAGGCAGCTCACCACCACCTTCTCAAGGGGCAACTAGGGATGGACAAGAAATGCTGGCCAGCCAATGATGCCCACATCCCACAAATGAATAGAAATAGACAAAAAAACTCTCTTATTCCAGGAATCAGTCTTCCTGGTACACCCAACAGATATGCTTCCTACAGAATTCGGCACAAAGAACAATACAGCGCAGGAACAGGCCCTTCGGCCCTCCAAGCCTGTGCTGACATATTTGGCCCTTCCATACCAAAACTGTCTTCACTTACAGGTTCCGTATCCCTCTATTCCCTTCCTATTCATGTATTCGTCCAGGTGCTTCTTGAATGCAGCTATCGTGTCTGTTTCCACCACGTCCTGTGGTAACGCGTTCCAGGCACTCTCCAACCCTTTGTGTGAAAAACAGGCCTCGCACATCTCTTTTAAACTTCTCGCCTCACACCTTGAACCTGTGTCCCCTTGTAATTGACCCCTCCACCCTGTGAAAAGCCTGATACTTCCCACTCTATCCATGCTTTTCACAATCTTATAAACCTCTATTAGGTCACTGCTCAACCTCCTGCATTCTAGTAAAAACAAACCCAGTCTATCCAACCTTTCTTCATCACTAAAATCCCCCATACCAGGCAACATCCTGGTAAACCTTTTCTGTACTGTCTCCAAAGCATCCACATCCTTCTGATAGTGTGGCAACCAGAATTGTACGCAATTTTCCAAGAATGGCCTAACTAAAGTTCTGTAAAGCTGTAGCATATGAATCCAGATAAAAATCAGATTAGCGCAGAGCAGCAGTAGCAGAAAGTCTGCACGTTTGCTGTACTTGTGGGTCTTGGGGATAAAGTGGTGAGTCAGTGCTGTTCAAGGCTCCCCACAGCAGGGGATGGGGGAGTGATAAATGTGGGCGGAGAGTGTTGATGGGAATGGGGGGAGGGGGAGAGAGAGAGAAGGCCTCCGTGGAAAAGACCAGGATAAAGAGGGAATATTACTCGGCGCACGTCAGGATGGAAAGAAGTTCCCAGACACAGATAATGAGATGACAAAAGGAAAAATAAATGACAGCAGAAATGTGGGGCAGCAGTTGTGTACGTGATAGATGTATAGATTTACATGCACAGTAGCTTGAAGCCAGTTTCTCCTTTCCCTGGAGAATGTAAGATAAGCATTGAGCACTGTAAAACAAAATAGACGTGCATCAATGAACAGCCCCTCAACAAAATAAAAACCGAAAGAACTGTGGATGCTGTAAATCAGGAATGAAGACGAAATTGCTGGAAAAGCTCAGCAGGTCTGACAGCATCTGTGAAGGGAAAATCAGCGTTAACGTTTCTGGTATGTTGCGAGGAAGGGTCACTGGCCCCGAAACGTTAACTCTGATTTTTTTTTCTTCACAGATGCTGCCAGACCTGCTGAGCTTTTCCAGCAACTTCTGTTTTTGCAGCCCCTCAACAAAGGCAGGGCACCCTGTCACACTTTACAGCCAACGAGCTCGAACAGGGGAAACATAGCAGCTGATCTGTGCATGGCAAGATCCCACAACAGCAAACTGTTGAACATCAAATCGTCTTTGTCATGGTGTTGACCGTGGTTTGGGGGGTGACAGATACTTGAGGGGGAGAATGAGGTCAGTTCCCTGTCTCCCTGAGGGGAAGTGGGGCCTCATTTGAGTGTCTCATCCAAATGATGGCACCTCTGAGGTGGAATCTCCATGTTGGCACTGCATGGGACTGTCCAACTGCATTTTGTCCCCCGGCCTCTGGGGTACGGGGCTTTTAACCGGGAGGGGCAAGAGTGCCCCTCAGCGTTTTTATTCCCTGCCGTTTCTTTCTGTTCCAGTGCGACCCGTATGTGAAGATTTCCCTGGGTAAGAGATCGGTCAGCGACCAGGACAACTACATCCCGTGCACACTTGACCCAGAGTTTGGAAGGTACAGTTCCCTCGCTCTCTCGGATAATGGTTCTCAGCAAGCGGAGGAAGCAGATGTGTCAGGGAGAGAGGCTGCGTCCACAGACTGGAAGTAAACGCGAGGCCAGACTGCAAGTATTGGCTGTTTAACTGTGTCAGGCATCGCCGCCCGATTCCCATTCTTGTTCGCCAGAGCCCAGTTCGCAGCCGGGTAAGGACCCGAGCCTGGAGAGATGGGTAACAGTGCAGCTACAGCGAACGGCAGCGAGGCTGGGTATTTGAACTCGGAGTGGCTGGGCCTGGGCCCAGTAAGGGGCACCGATATGCCAAGCGAACCAGAGCTGATTCTCTGGGATGGTCAGTCAGACGGTGAGAATCTGTTTCTGATGCAGGGACTCAAACTGTGTGAACCAGGCAAATTCCTGCCTCCTGCTCCCCAGGAGGGAGCAATCACTTGGCCTTTTCTGTTCCCTTCGAACGTGGAGAGTGTTTAAAATTCAGTGAACGCTGTGGCTCCCACATGTAGTGTGTGTACCCCTTTGACTGCACTGTGTGAACTCCTGCACCTGCCAATTTAAACATTGACAGACTCTCAACTTGGCTCGTAAAACAGACTTGGGAGTCTTCGCTTATAAAACCCTCAAACCAATGAGGCACCAACAGACTTATTTAATTATCATAAAGATTTGAAGGATTTTTTTTTGTTTCCCATTCATTTCATTTTCAACGTGGAAAGGAGAATGGTATTTTTGAATTCTTTTGGTTCTCATTAAGGTGCAGATGTTATTGCTGCACATTTTCCACTCACAGCTCTCCTTGTCAAACACTCCCTCGGCAGGTAATATGCTGGGTTAGATACAGAGTAAAGCTCCCTCTACGCTGTCCCCATCAAACACTCCCGGGACAGGGACAGCATGGGGTTAGATACAGGGTAAAGCCCTCTCTATATTGTCCCCATCAAACACTCCCAGCAAAGGGAGAGCATGGGGTTAGATACAGTGTAAAGCTCCCTCTACATTGTCCCCATCAAACACTCCCAGCACAGGGACAGCACAGGGTTAGATACAGAGTAAAGCTCCCTCTACACTGTCCCCATCAAACAGTCCCAGGACAGGGACAGCATGGGGTTAGATACAGAGTAAAGCTCCCTCTACTCTGTCCCCGTCAAACACTCCCAGGACAGGGACAGCACGGATTAGATACAGAGTAAAGCTCACTCTACATTGACCCTCCATCCCAGGACAGGGACAGCATGGGGTTAGATAGAGCTTAAAGCTCCCTCTACACTGTCCCCATCAAACACTCCCAGCACAGGGACAGCATGGGGTTATTTACAAAGTGAAGCTTCCTCTACACTGTTCCCATCAAACCCTCCCAGCACAGGGACAGCACGGTGTTAGATATAGCATAAAGCTTCCTCTACATCATCCCCATCAAACACTCCCCGGATAGGGACTGCACAGGGTTAGATATAGCGTAAAGCTCTCTCTACACCATCCCCATCAAACACTCCCAGGATAAGGACAGCACAGGGTTAGATATAGCGTAAAGCCTCCTCTACACTGTCCCCATCAAACACTCCCAACACAAGAACATCAAAGAGTTAGATACAGAGTCAAGCTTCCTCTACACTGTCTCCACTGAACCCTCCCAGCACAGGGATAGAGTACGGTACAGAGTAAAGATTCCTCGACATGGACCTACTAATGCTCCAGTCTGTGACATATTCCCAGGTCATCTTTAAGAGTGGTATGGTTTGTGTTGCTGCAGGATGTATGAACTGACTGGAAACCTCCCCATTGACAAGGACTTGAAGGTCACCCTGTACGACTATGATCTGCTGTCAAAGGATGAGAAAATCGGCGAAACCGTGATTGATTTGGAGAATCGTTTCCTCTCTCGATTCGGAGCTTGCTGTGGCTTACCTCAAACCTACTCCATGTAAGTTGTCCGTTTCTTCACGGAGTCTGAAGCTCTGGTTTCCTGAGGTTTGTGTCCAGGGGTACCAGCTCCTTCATTTTGTGAAACCTGCCTCATTCCCTGCACGTATTGAATCAGCAACTGACTGACACTGAGACAAAGGAGGAGGTTGTAGGTGGTCGCACCCTTATAAAACCATGCAGCAAAGAGGCCCATGGCACATTGATAGAATTCTCCACATAGTCAGAGTCACCTACACTTAACCAATGGTCCTGCCATTTTCCCTTACTGTACATTGTGGTAAAGAAGGCATATGGCATGCTTGCCTTTACTGGTCGGGGAACTGAGTGCAAGAGTCAGGATGTCATGTTGCAGCTTTATAAGACTTTGGTTAGGCCACACCTAGAGTACTGTGTTCAGTTCTGGTCGCCACATTACAGGAAGAATGGGGAAGCTTTGGAGAGAGTGCAGAAGAGGTTTACCAGAATGCTGCCTGGATTAGAGGGTATGAGCTATAAGGAGAGGTTAGAAAAACTCAGATTGTTTTCTCTGGAGCGGTGCAGGCTGAGGGGAGACTTGTTAGAGGTCTGTAAAATTATGAGAGGCATAGATAGGGTTGACAGTCGGAATCTTTTTCCCAGAGTTGAAATGTCTAATACTAAGAGGCATGCATTTAAGGCAAGAAGGGGGAAAGTTCAAGGGAGATGTGAGGGGCAAGTTTTTTACACAGAGACTGGTAGGGGCCTGCAATGCACTCCCAGGGATGGTGGTGGAGACAGATATGATAGGGATGTTTAAGGGACTTTTAGATAAGCACATGCAGGGAATGGAGGGATATGGACCAAGGGCAGGCAGAAGGGATTAGTTTCATTTGGCATCATGTTCGGAACAACATCATGGGCCGAAGGGCCTGTTCCTGTGCTGTACTGTTCTATGTTCTATCCCAAAGAGAATTACCATTGAAATATATAATCAACTGATAATGCATTTTGGGAAGACTGAAGATCAGCGAAAGCACTGGAGAAATTCTCTCCCAACCATTACCCATGCCGATGAGTTGCACCTCCTCAAACCTCACTGTGTTTTAGGATCTATATAAAACTTTAGGTCGGCCACATTTGGCGTATTATCTGCATTTCTGGTCCCCTTACTATCGGAAGGATGTGAAAGCTTTGGAGAGGGTGTAAATGAGGTTTACCAGGATGTTGCCTGGATTGGAGTGTGTTATCTATAAGGAGAGGTTTTTTTCCTTCATTCATTAATGAGATGAGGGCGTTGCTAGCCAGGCAGCATTTGTTGCTCATCCCTAATTGCCCAGAGGGCAGTTTAGAGTGAACCACATTGCTGTGGGTCACATGTAGACCAGACCAGGTAAGGATGGCAGTTTCCTTCCCTAAAGGACATTAGTGAACCAGATGAGTTTTTCCCCAACATTGGCAATGGATTCACAGTCATCAATAGATTCTTAATTCCAGATATCTTATTGCATTCAAATTCCACCATCTGCTGTGACGGGATTTGAACCCAGGTCCCCAGAATGTTATCTGGGTCTCTTGATTAATAGTTCAGCGATAATACCAGTAAGCCATCGCTTCCAGGTTGGACAAATTTGGATTGTTTTTGCTAGAGCATTGGAGGGTGAGGGACGACCCAATAGAAGTGTATAAAATTGTGAGAGGCATAGACAGGGTGGATAATCAGAGTCCCTCTCCCAGGATGGAAATATCACATACTCAGTGGGCCATAGGTTTAAGCTGAGAGGGGGAAAGTTTAAAGGATATGTGTCAGGCAGGTTTCTTACACAGAGGGTAGTAGCTGCCTGGAACACGCTGCCAGGGGAGGTGGTAGGTGTGGATACCATAGCAACGTTTAAGAGGCATTTAGACAAACACGTGAGCAGGCAGGGAGTAGAGGGATAGGCATCATGAGCAGGCAGATGGGATTAGTTTCGAATGGCCTCATGGTCGGTACAGACATGATGGGCCAATGGGTTTGTTCCTGTGCTGTACCGTTCTATGTTCTACCTTTCTCCTGCCCATTGTTGTTATTCTTTTAAACTCCCACTTGTTTCGGTCACCTGTCATTCTGGACTCTTGAACAGTCGGGTTCTGTTCGCTTCTGTCCACCACACCCTATTCTTTTAGAACTTTAAACTCTTCTTTATATCTAAAGGACCAGAGTATAAGGATGCAGAGGTTATGCTGCAGTTGCACAAAACCCTGGTTGGATCCCACTTGGAGTACTGTGAGCAGATTGGGGCACCACACCTTAGGAAGGATAGATAGGCCTTGGAGGGAGTACAACGTAGGTTTACAGGAATGGTACCTGGATTTCAGGGGATAAGTTATGAGGAGACCGTATACAAATTCGAAATAGTAGGAACTGCAGATGCTGGAGAATCCGAGACAACAAGGTGCAGGGCTGGATGAACACAGCAGGCCAAGCAGAATCAGAGGGATTCGGCCTGTTTTCTCTGGAATTTAGAAGATTGAGATGTGATCTGATTAAAGTCTTCAAATATCAGCAGGAAAAGACAGGATGGGTAAAAATAAACTATTTCCACTGGTTGAACATTCTAGAATCCAGGGCCACATGGATTTCATCACAGAATCCCTACAATGTGTGAACAGGCCCTTCAGCCCAACAAGTCCACACTGACCCTTGGAGCATCCCACCCAGACCCATCCCCCATAACCCACCTCAGCTGCACATACCTGGACACTAGGGGCAATTTAGCATGGCCAATCCACCCTAACCTGCACATTTTTGGACTGTGGGAGGAAACCAGAGCACTTGGAGGAAACCCACACAGACACAGGGAGAATGTGCAAACTCCACACAGATAGGTGCCCAAGGGTGGAATCGAGCCCACATCCCTGGTGCTGTAAGGCAGCAGTGCTAGCCACTGACCCACTGTGCCATCATAGTCTGAGAACGAGCGCCAGACCATTCAGGAGAGATGTTAGGAAGCACTTCCACACACAAAGGGTGGGAGAAGTTTGGAACTCTCTTCCACAAATGGTAATGGATGATAGATCAGATGTTAATTTTAAATCTGAAATAGTTACACTTCTGTTATGTAAAGGTATTAAGGGATTATAGGCCAAAGTCAGGTAGACGGAGTAAGGTCATAGATGGCCATGATCTCAATGAATGGTGGAACAGGCTCGAAGGGCTGAATGGCCTGCTCCTGTGGTCCTTTATTCTTTCCTGTCACCCTGCCATCCCGTGACAGCGAATCCTAAATCAAAGTCTTTGGATTTGCATTGCTTAATATTTCCAGCCCAGAAACAGTCAGTCCATTCCTCCAAGCTGGCTGGGCCATGCTGCTGCCTATTTGCTTCACACAAGCTGCCCCACGTTCTTTGTGAACTCACCCTGCCAGCTTGACCCGTTGCTCCTGTGTGCTTGTTTATTCGCTTCCTGCGGGAGTGAATCCCACGTTCCCCAGAATACGCACTGGATTCCACTAAACTGCATTTCACCCAACCGTCGGGTATGTGAGTGGACCTAGCATCCTCAGAGATCCAGCACCATGGATTGTTCTAATGGAGTGTTTGTGTCTTTGCAGCTCAGGACCAAACCAATGGCGTGACCAGCTCAGACCAAGCCAGCTCCTTCACATCTACGCACAGAGGCAAGGCTACAAGCTGCCTGTGATCACAGAGAGTAAGATCACTATGGCAGGCGAGGAGTTCCTTCTGTCTGACTTTGGTACGTCTATTCCCTCCTGCTCTTCCCTGAGCTTCACTTACACAGAGAGAGAGAAAGCTTGATGCTCGGGCTAACCATTCACCACCCGAGACCCAATGTGATTTCAGAAAGCCAGCACCATCATGTGGGGCTGAATGGCCTCATGCTGTGATCAATGACACTGACATGATAATGTGTTATACATAGTAGTGTCTTTTGAGGCTTCCACATCCACTGGAAGTGTCCATTCAGCCCCTCAAACCTCGTCTGTTATTCAATTGGATTGTGGCTGTTGGGTATCTCAGCTCATGTGTCGGTCGATACTTCATTATCTCTTATGAAAATATCACATGCCCTTATGAAAATATCATCATAGAATCCCTACAGCGTGGAAACAGGCCATTTGGCCCAACAAGTCCACACCAACCCTCAGAGCATCCCACCCAGACCCATCCCCCTATAACCCACCTAATCTACACATCCCTGAACACTATGGGCAATTTAGCATGGCCAATCCACCCTAACCTGCACATCTTTGGACTGTGGGAGGAAACCAGAGCACCCAGAGGAAACCCACGCAGACACAGGGAGAACGTGCAAACACCACACAGACAGCCACCCGAGGCTGGAATTGAACCCAGGTCCCTGGCGCTGTGAGGCAGCAGTGCTAACCACTGAGCCACCGTGCTGCCCTTGTCTGAGAATAAATCTGAGAAATCTCAGTTTTGATTTGCACAGCATCTAAAGATCTTTTATGGGGGTGAAAATGCTACATTGCTTGGTGTGAGGAACTGCTTCTTAATTGCACCTCTGAGCAAGCAAGCTCTAGTCTTAAGAGTTGAACACATAGTGGCTCTGTCACTTGCCCCGTTGTTTCCTTTTGATCATGTTAAACACCGTGATCAGATCACTCCTCTGTACTGACCTTCAGCTGAAATTCTTCAAGGGGTTTGACAGGCTAGGAGTCAATAACATGGGGTCAGTAATCAACTATTGTCAGAGTCAGAGCTGTACAGCACGGAAACAGACCCTGCGGTCCAACTCGTCCATGCCGACCAGATATCCTAAATTAATCTAGTCCCATTTGCCAGCATTTGGCCCATGTCCCTCTAACCCTTTTCTATTTATGTACCCATCCAAATGCCTTTTAAATGTTGTAATTGTACCAGCCTCCACCACGTCCTCTTTCAGCTCATTCCATACACACATCACCCTCTGTGTGAAAAAGTTGTCCCTTAGGTCCCTTTTAAATCTTTCCCCTCTCACCTTAAACCTATGCCCTCTAGTTTTGGACTCTCCTATCCTGCAGAAACGACTTTGCTTATTCAACCTATCCATGCCCCTCACGATTTTATAAACCTCTATAAGGTCACCCCTCAGCTTCCTACACTCCAGGGAAAATAGCTCCAGTCTATTCAGCCTCTCCCTATAGCTGAAACCCTCCAACCTGGCAACATCTTTGCTGAACCCTTTCAAGTTTTGCATCATCCATCATATAGTAGGGAGACCAGAATTGAACACAGTACCCCAAAAGTGGCCTAATCAATGTCTTGTACAGCAGCAACATGACCTCCCAATACGCTGACCAATAAAGGCAAGTGTACCAAATGCCTTCTTCACTATCCTGTCTACCTGTGACTCCATTTTCATGGAACTGTGAACTCCAAGGTCTCTTTGTTTGGCAGCACTCCCAAGACCCTACCATTGTAATGGGGGAGAATTCCTATATTCAGATTCTTTAGAATCATAGAATTCCTACAGTGTGGAAACAGGCCTTTTGGCCCAACAAGTCCACACTGACCCTTAGAGTATTCCACCCAGACCGATCTCTTAACCCACCTAATCTACACATCCCTGGACACTATGGACAATTTAGCATGGCCAATCCACCTAACCTGCAAATCTTTTGACTGTGGGAGGAAACCGGAGCACCCAGGGAAAATCCACGCAGATGCAGGGAGAATGTGCAAACTCCACACAGACAGTTGCCTGAGGGTGGAATCGAACCCGGGTCCCTAGCACTGTGAGGCAGCAGTGCTAACCACTGAGCCAACATGCCACCTTGGCACCACTGTGACACCAGAGAGCTGGGCATGCTCAGTTCCTGAGTGTATCCAATGCATAGATTTTGGGATATGGCACAGGAAGGTGGGGTTGAGGTGGAAAAAATGAGTTAGACACAAGAGTAGCCCCTTGAGCTTGCTCCACCATTCAATAATATCAAGGTTGACCTGATTACTTCAAATTCCCACCCTGATAACGTCTGTCTCACTGCCTGAAACATAATCAAGGATTCTGCTTCTCGTCTTTTGAGGAAAAGAGTTCCAAAGAATCAATGACCCCTCATGGAAAAATATTCCATACCTCGGCCTCAAGGTCAGCCATGCTTTTATTCAAAATTGTCAAGAGGTTCAGAGGGCCGAATGGCCTACCCTAGTGTAGTGGGACCTCCTGCAGCAGGTAGTGGCTGTGGGATGGAATCTTTGAATGGACTCCATCTGGAAAAGTTAGAATTAGTTTGTTGGAAAGCGGGCTGAAGGGAAGGGAGGGCAGATGTGCAAAGAAATTCCTCAAACCAATTTCCCTGATCAGTGGCAAATGGAATTCAATCCAGAGAAATGTGAGGTGATGCATTTGGACAGTACAAATAAAACAAGGGAATACATGATGAACAGTAGGACCCTGGGAAGCACCAAGGATCAGAGAGACCTTGGTCCCCATGTACACCAGCCCCTTAATGTATCAGGACAGGTGGGTAAAGTGGTTAAGGAGGCATTAATTGAGGCACAGAGTTTAAGAGCGGGGAGGTTATGCTGGAACTGTATAAAATACCTGTTAGGTTACAGCTAGAGTATTATGAGCAGTTCTGGAGTCCACATCATCGGAGGGATGTGACCGCACTGGAGAGGGTACAGAGGGAGATTTACCAGGATGTTCCCTGGGCTGGAGAGTTACAGTGTTGAAGAGAGATTGGACAGAGTGGGGTTGTTTCACTTAGAGCAGAGGGGACTGAGAGGGGACATGATTGAGATGTATAAAGTTGTGAGGGGCATGGATAGGGGAGACAGGAAGGATGGAGGGATCAGTGACTGGGGGGCATCGATTTAAGGTAAGGGGCAGAAAGTCTGGAGGGGATATGAGGAAAAACTTTTTTACCCAGAGGGAGGTGGGAATCTGGAACTCGCAGCCTGTAGAAGTGGGAGAGACAGAAACCTTCATTACATAGAAGAAGTATTTAGATGTTCACATACAATGCTGAGACATACAGGGTTATGGGCCAAATGCTAGAAAGTGGGATTAGAATAGGTAGATGGTTGTTTTTGACATGGATACGATGGACAGAAGGGCCTTTATCTTTGCTGTAGATCTCTATGACTCTGCTTTAACCTACAAAGTCATTCCACATATATAGTGTTAATAGTTCCTTGTTTATCCTTAATTTCTCTTCCTGCTTGTCATGACCTGATGCCATTGGAATAAGGAATCCTGCTTCATGACCTTTGGGTCATCTCTTTGTTTCAATATCATATTACACTGACCTTATTCCTTAGACCTATTTGTTAGATACTGATTATGTCGATCTGAAATGAAGCTCATTATGTTCTTTAACCCTAAAAATCCCTCACCCTGATGAAGAATTTAACCTGCAGGATTCTCACGGGAGGGTTGTGCATTGCAGTGACCTCAGACTGCCATGGATGACTGATTGTTCCTTTTCATTACAGAGGATGGGAAGCCCCTCGGCATGCACCTAGGACCCCCCGATGAGCGCCTGGCTTTGTATGTGCTCCGCAAACAGGGCCTGGTTCCAGAGCATGTGGAGACACGGGCATTATTCAGCCCATTACAGCCTGACATTGAGCAAGTAAGAACTCGATTCTGTTGTGAATGACCACAAGGAGTTAGATATAATTCATAGGGTCATGCGGATTACGAGCTTTATTTTTATTCACTCATGGGATGTGGATGTTGCTGGCTCGGCAGCATTTCTTGCCCATCCCTAGCTGCCCCTTGAGAACATAGAACATAGAACATTACAGTGCAGTACAGGCCCTTCGGCCCTCGATGTTGCGCCGACCTGTGAAGGTGGTGGTGAGCTTCCTTCTTGAACTGCTGCAGTCCATGTGTTGTAGGTTGACCCACAATGCTATTAGGGAGGGAATTCCAGGATTTTGACCCAGCAACAGTGAAGGAACGGCGATAGATTTCCAAGTCAGGACGGTGAGTGGCTTGGAAGGGACCGTGAAGGTGGTTGAAGGTGATGGTGTTCCCATGTATCTGCTGCCCTTGTCCTTCTGGATGGAAGTGGTCGTGGGTTTGGAAGGTACTGTCTGAGGATCTTTGGTGAATTTCTGCAGTGCATCTTGGAGATAGTACACACCAGAACATCAGCTGGGTTTCTGGACTAATGGTCTAGCGATAATACCACCAGGCCATCGTCTCCCCTCAGTGATAAACATCAAAAGATAAGTATTGGCCATGATACTAGGAAGAAATCTTCCCTGGCCCTTTTAAAATATTGCCAGTGGACCATCAATGTCTGCCTGAGAGATACCCTGTCTGCAAGATGGCATGTCTGACAGGAGAGTGCATTGTGAACTGAGGAGGGGCATGGTCCCATGGATTTTCTAATGCAGAGGTGCTTCGTTTTAAAAACCTGTTTGCTCATTTGACATGGTCACAACCGGCAAGGTCAGTGTTTATTATCCATTCCAGATTACCTTCAGGAAAGTGGAGTTGAGCTGATTTCTTAAGCCACAGCAATTTAGGGACATACGTTAAATAGCCACTGAGGTAGAAATTGATTGAAGATGTACAGGAGTGTGTATTTCACCTCCAGACCCTCCGAAATCTGTCCACCATTCACAAGGCATATGTCAGGAGTGGGAACAGACTCCCAAATGTCAGATGTTGATTTACCATCAAAGAGCCGTTCCCAATCCACATTCTCTAATTCTTGCTTAATTCGGTTACAGTTAGCCTTCCCCCAGTTTAACACCTTCAAACACAGAAACATAGAAACACAGAAGATGGGAGCAGGAGGAGGCCATTCAGCCCTTCGAGCCTGCTCCATCATTCATCACGGTCATGGCTGATTGTCCAACTCAACAGCCTAATCCTGCTTTCTCCCCATAACCTTTGATCCTATTCGTCCCAAGTGCTATATCTAGTCGCCTCTTGAATACATTCAATTTTTTGGCATCAACTACTTCCTGTGGTAATGAGTTCCACAGGCTCACCGCCCTCTGGGTGAAGAAATGTCTCCTCATCTCCGTCCTAAATGGTCTACCCCGAATCCTCAGACTGTGACCCCTGGTTCTGGACACACCCACCATCGGGAACATCCTCCCTGCATCTACCCTGTCGAGTCTTGTCCTTATCCAGATGTATCTGAAAACATATGGAATTATGGCCAATATTGCCAGTTGCTGAGTTACTGCGGCAAGTAACTCACCTCCTGACTCCCCAAAGCCTGCCCACCATCTACAAGGCACAAGTCAGGAGTGTGATGGGATACTCCCCACTTGCCTGGAAGGGGGCAGCCCCAACAACACTCAAGAAGCTTGACACCATCCAGGACAAAGCAGCTGCTTGATTGGTACCACATCCACAAGCATCCACTCCCTCCACCACCGACGCTCAGTAGCAGCAGTGTGTACTATCTACAAGATGCACTGCAGAAATTCACCAAAGATCCTCAGACAGCACCTTCCAAACCCACGACCACTTCCATCAAGAAGGACAAGGGCAGCAGATACATGGGAACACCACCACCTGCAAGTTCCCCTCCAAGCCACTCACCATCCTGACTTGGAAATATATCGCCGTTCCTTCACTGTCACTGGGTCAAAATCCTGGAATTCCCTCCCTAAGGGCATTGTGGGTCAACCCACAGCACATGGACTGCAAAAGCTCAAGAAGGCAACTCAA